GCGGATGAGGTTTAGGTTGTTTGCCCAAGGCCTGGGACGCGCGCACCATGCGTCTGGGGAGAAGTAGTGGTCGTGCTCAGAGGTCAATCTTCGTCCAAATTTACGAACATAAACACTCCCAGGGACTAACTCTGGGCCTAATAATATTATGATTTGAATCATCTGGAAATCTAGGGCTGTAAATAACACATTTAGGGAAGCTTGGTAGCATTCTGTGCAAAACCTCCATGTGCCCCTCAGGTGACAAAGTGGGCCGCAAAAAATGAGATCTCCACTCTCCACTAGCCTGACGAAACACCAGCTACATTAAAGATGTGAATATGGACGAAAGAAAAAGTAAATGTACCTGCTGGACAAGAAATACTTGACGAAAGGGTTGCTGGAGATTTCCAAGCGGGGCGCTCTGTCCGTATAAATCAAGCTCTGACGATCTAGCGAGCTTACAATAATCACTGATAATGGTGAGCCTTTCAGATTAGCGCAGTAGTACTCCCGGTCACCCTAAAATTCAAAAATGTAACATCTTCACATGTCCTCATTCAGTGATACTATAGCGATTCGCTCTTAAAGAATCAGCGATCAATAACTACAGTATTCCTCATCTGGTAATTTTTGGAAGGAAAAACTGCCCCGAAAGCTTAAATAAAACTACTGATCACAATCCATCGGATAGTATTCAACTCACATCAATTATTGCTTCCGAATCGCAAGTCGTTGTTATGACGCCGTGGCGTAACTGATTTACTCCTGTGGAGTTCCCTTCGAGTTCGATCTGAAAACCGAATTTCATTTATTTTCTTGTTATTGCGGGAATATTTAATGTTTGTTGATCAGAAAACTACCACAAAATTATTATTAGCTTACCAAATCGATAGTTGGTATGCTGTCTATGAGCCCGACCAAACGATAAACACGCTGATCGCTGAACCCATATTGGACCTAGAAGATAACAAGTATCCCAGCGATAAATAATCACAGTATCCCTTTCCTCGCTGATTTTTTTTATTTCACAGAAATAAGACCTCAGCAAGGCAACTTGTACTTCTATCCTGCCCTGCCATCTTCCAATTTTTTGAGCCTTCAACCGTCTCGAAATCGGATGCAAATTTTGGATTCTAGCTCCGCCCTCGGTAAGGAGCACTAAGCAGCAAATTTGAGAAACTGGTCGCGATGGACCAATGCCAACCAAACACGCATTTTTGGGACAGCTTTTTTTGTTTTTCTTGGGACATTGAGCAGTGAGCGATTCTTTTTAATAAGTCGCCTACTTTGGGAAAGAAACATCTTGAGACTGACCCTTAATCCTGCACCAGCGCGATGTCGAACCTGTGAGGCATCGTAACATGCGCTTCGACGAACAGCATGTACTTCGGTAGCCTGAAAACGTACTAAGATCGCAAGAGGAAAACTGATTCAAAAATGTTTCGGACAGATATACCCAAGGAGATGCAAGATGAGCTTAAAAGCACACTGCTCGTCATGAATAAGGATCCACGCCTACATATAGATAAGCTATCCAGCAAATAGAAAATGTGGTCTACGTTGTCCGGTATCTGTGGAAATCCGCTAGCCACTGTGCTCTCTGGTCTTGTTCGCTCCACTCAGCGCTGGTGTCTCGTCGTCCTGACACTGTCCGCCGTACAAAAATTGATTCTAGTCTCCTTTCCATTTTCTCTTCATTATTAGTTCATTTTTTTACCTCTATTCCACTTTCAATCGGAAAATTACAGCGTCTTTCGTTCGTAAAACGTATCTTCAACGTCTTACTATAAGAAACTAGGAACTGAAGAGGTCGGTTTAGAGCGGATTTCTATTCAAAGTGATCATAGAAGTGAAAGAGTTTTCTATTGCAGAAATCAAAATTATTCAAGTGTCAATATCGGATCGTTAGAAAAGTGATGAAAAAAAGTAGTTTTTTTGAGTTGTGAAACTCACCGGAAGTATGTGTTTCGGATGATAGATGACAATCCCGTTGTTATCAACAATAATTCCGTACAGCTGTTCACTTTTGGGAAGTCGGTCGGTGAGTTCGGCGATCCCGATGTCGATACCTAGACCGATCCAGTGATGTTTGGGTGTTACGAAACTGAGAGCGAAGAAGTAAAAATTAAATCAACAAAGTGGGCAACATGGGGAAAATGAGAACAAGGGGCGAGATATAGCGATCGATTCCAGCCGTAGCGTGGATCAAACAGGTATGATTGGAATTGTCACTAGATATTGCTTAGACTTCGGACTCCTTCAGAAATTACAGGAGCGAATGGCCAGCTGAAGCCATGAATCTCAAAAGGACTCACCAGCAATTCCAGCGATCCGCTGTCCAAGCCAGATACCTTCAGGTTTTGTGACTATGGGCAGCGATATTGTAATAGTGGGACCGAGACCTTGCACTTCCATGTACAGTTTTGACCTTAAATATGGAATATGCACTTGAATTTCAAAAATCCGCTATGCAAAGCTGCTACTATAGTATCATAAATTTTGGGAATTGCAAATGCCCTAGTTTCAGCTTTATTGCTGTGTTCTCTGAAGTTAGTTTTTCGAAGGTTATGTGACGTGCATTATTACTGGGGGATCGAAACCTCTACAGAGAAAGAGCATAGTCTCCTTGGCACTCACGGTCTTGGGGGGGGGGGGACATTCAAAACAAGGCCTTTTGAAACGCGTTGAGGTGACACATGAACAAAGCCCAGGAGAGGGGAAACGCCGGGGAGAATAAATACTGCTCGTATCCTTTCACAGAATCCTTCCCCTCCCCAAGGCCTGGTCTCTGGTATTTTGGCTCACTCACTCGAATGTCCCGCCCCTCCCCTATCGTCATGAGCGCCGTCTCCACTATAGCTTTTTGCTACACCACGTAATGACTCGAGCGGACGGGTCTTAAGAGTATATGGAGAAATGAAGCGTTACCTTGAAAACAAACAGTGCTCCCCCTCCTCCTCCAGTCACTGGCTGTATCGAATTAGAGGCGCGAATTGTAAGGCAAAACCGTTTAGCACAGTATTGCCTCCGTGACGTCCTTGGGGCTATGGATGTTGTCTGCGTCTCGCTTGCATGCGTGCTCTCTCGTCTTCTCGACGTCTGCTCCCTGATCCTAGCCCATATTATTTCTTCGTGGATAGTTCGCACAATGCCCTCAGAACTATTGCACGAGGAGGACTCTATTATGGTATTCGCGTCAGTCTCTTGTTCTTCCATCACGCCAAGACCACACAATAACTAACGACTCCATTTTCTGACTTCAATTCTCAATTCAGTTCTCAAATGCATGCAGCGTAATGTGCCTTCAGAGATTTGTGAAGAAGCGACTTGGCTCATACTTTTTGCACTTCTGCACTAACCCCACTTGCTTTTTTATAGGTGGATAAAGGAAGCCCACTGCGGTGCGAAGCCAGCCAATTAACGTTTCCATAATTTTAAATTTCACTTTCCTGGAAAGCTCTAAACTGACCAGCTTATCCGTCGTGCTTCAATGGGCGTGGTTTCAAGACTTCTGCCGAGCGCAGCGCTTAAATGATCCAGGTATGAACGAGATTGTGGTTTTACATCCATAATTGAATCGATAACTGAAATTTGTTTTTCACATTCGGCCCTTGAACACCAGAAAGTTCAACATGAGTACTCGAGTATTTCGCAAACGTTCTACAGGCAATCCAGTGCAGCAGTGGCAGCTGTCCGGTACCGTATCCCATTGAGAAGCCAAACATGCGTATCTGAACGAGTATTACTTGATGAAACTAATGGCTTTCCATTCTATGGTCCGTTACCTACCACGTCGCCATGCCTGTTGTGCAGTTCTTCGTCCATCACCGCATGGGGCCATTCGTCGAGGCCGTCAGTGAACAGCATAAGTAACTTATGCCCTCCGGAACGGTAATTTCGGGAACACTGAGTTTGTCGAATTCAAATCCTATAACACAGTTAGATTTGATTTTTAGTTTTCCATAGATATCTTCAACATCGGAATTGGCTTATTGCCAAAACCTTACCCCTCGTAATGCGTCCAGTGAGAATCGCAGAGGTGCTGATACATGGGCTTGGTCTTTCTCTTCGAGCTCTCCAAGCCGTTCGAAGAAAATCTGCGAGATAATTAGAGCATTCAAAGAGTAAGTAATTAGATGCTATCAAAATCCGATAAAATTCAATATAATATTAAATTTTCCCGTTAGGAATGGATACGCCACGCACTCGATTACCGCGATCATTGTAGGGGCCGCAAATGGGCAAACACCGCTGCCGAGTGGTGGATATTCAAGAGCAATACAAGCGCTCACTTCTCTGCAGTCACCGCCTTCCGCCGCCAAATTTTGCCTATTTCGTGTTACCCAAATGTCGGACCAAACCAAGTTCAGTGCATTGGCCCCACTTTGTCTTGCTGGCCAAACTCCTGGCAGGAAGATAGAGTGATTGGACCTGCTCGCTTTAGAATCTATTGTCAATAAAATAATTTTTTTCGGAAACATGCGAAAGCTCAGAAGGGTACACACTCGTTCCAATCAACGGTTCATCGCGATCGGTTCCTAACTCATGTTCTAACAGAGTTAAAAAAATTGGCGACATTTTTGTGTTATTACTTCATATGCTGCTTGAGATTAGCGCCAGGCATATCTCATGGTGCGCTTTGGAGTGTGACTTCCAAGATTTCTCGGAAGGTTTTTGTAGGTAGTCTCAGTGTCGCGACGTACGTCTAAACTCCCCCTCCGCCCAAACTTCCTACTACCTTTTTAAGGCTGGGAGGTATAACTTCGTCGAAATACTTGCTGGCATGCCATGAAATTGATGGGCTTGCCGCTAAGAGTCGATTATACTTTCTTCTCTCCTCACTACCCGGTGGTCCTTCTGAAAACGACGCTGATTCCTCCAAGCATCACTTCATTATATAAAAGCTAGAACTTTGTGTGTCTGTGAGTCATGATCATTATAACACCCACAGGGGCTATATAAACACCGATCGAGCACACTCACTCTCATTCTACATGGTGCTGCCGTGGCAGCCGGATGAGCGGGTGGGGGAGGGAGGGGGCAGGGGGCAAGAAAGGGAAGGCTGGCAGTAAGGACGGAAACATCGGAGAAAGGAGTCGAGAACAGGAGAGAGGGTATAAGAAGATATCGATCGCCAAATAGTGAAGTGCTTAACGGTAGTACATCATGCTGCATTCCCGTGTTCCTCCCTACGTGAGCGCGCAATAGCGGGCGCGGCAAACCTGTCCCTATCTACAAACGCAGACGACTTCTGTATGCAAATCCGTTCGACTAGCCAATCTCGGACTGAATGAGTGTGGTAGTCATCTCTAGCAGAATTTCTCAGTAGCCTCAAGGGACCTCGCTGCGAAAATTCTTATTCGGATCTCTATTTTCTATCGCGACACCTTCAAAGTGAGGATCGTAATCTCTGATGATACATCCATATATCGTTCATGTGCTTTTCCCAAGCCTCTCTTTACGCAGCGTTGTGGTGCATTCTTTCTTTCATTGGTCCCCAGAGGGAAAGGTGAGCTCTTCTGGAGTATTCAAAAATACCTCCTGCGCAGAGGAGTGAATCTGCAATTCATATGAGCGAACGTCACGATGAGGAAAGATCGGCCCTCAGCTATGTACGTCGATATTCAGAGACTCAGGTCGCCATACCTATTCGCGTAAGAGCCTAGCGAAATTATGAGCAAGGGGAAGTTATCTACAACTAGATTTGAAAATTAAAAAATACCTTTTATTACTCGTTGTGGCTGGCAGAAAGTCCCATTGGCACATGAAAGAATCGGAGCAAAGACGGAATTGAAAATATACACCTTAAATTAACAACAGCTTTATAATGGAAGTTAAGCTGGGCGGATTCAATGGCGAGCTAAGTTTTGCCTCTTGAAGGAGGTTTCCGCGATAGCGTCAGAGTCGAGGTAAAGAAAAATTAAACAAGCTTCAGGAAATTTCCCTCCAAGCAGGGACTCTTAGGTGCGAAGGCGACGCGCGAAGGTATGCCCGCGTAACGAAACTAGACAGGCCGCATCGTGACGTTCGCTATGCTGCACTACACCCAGCTCTGCGCCTGTCGAACTCTAGCCGTGCACACGAGCCTATACTAGAGACGCAGGAAAGAGCTTCAACGTTGATGACACCAGTTTCATTAAGACTGAAAAGACCAGTGCGGAAATAAACGGGCAAAAAGTGTCCCTTGCTAGTGTTCTGAGTTTTTTCTTGGTTTTTTTCATCCTTGCATCACTGACCACCCCCGCATTAACTCCTCACAGGCTGCCTTTCACAGTAAATTCCGCACTTGAGGACACATTCAGAATATTCAGAGGTTCTCAAAAGAATTTCAAGGTCAGTTACACGATGGCCGGCAAATTTGAGACATCATTAATAAAGGGAGCTTGAGGTGATCCGAAGACACTTCGCAGTACACTGAGTGATGTGGTCGGACCACGATCGAATCGCTGAGTGTGCTTCCAAAGTCAGAATTCCGCTTCTGAGAGGCTTCGTTCTTTAAAATGTTCACTCATAGAAAAAGAATTACCTACCAAAGAAGTAGTCATTTGGTGACAGCGTTGACAGTATGTACATCATTGTGACCTTTATGAGATGCATCGTAGGGCCCTTTACACTTCCGGAGCTGAAAATCAAACTTCATGTCGTGGCCCTTGCTGGGTATAATAAATAAGCGCCACTGATAGCAAGTGCTAAGAACACGCGAGCGTAAGATGCTGTTAAGCTTGCACGCAGTTGCCATAGAAATTGTAACATGACTCCTTCTTTTAATATAACCTTTTTATTTTACGAATGTTTTTAAGCGTGGTTACTTGTCAATACTGCCTTAATTTCCATTGAATTACTAGATGGGCAGCTTTAACTTCATTTGGTGGCAGTATATGTTTCAGTTTTCCTCATTTTACCGGGCTTTTTGAAGCCTCTAAGGGTGATAGATGTAATCTAAAAGAGAATATCCCGAGAATGAAGAGTTTAGTTATAGAAAAACATGTGTTCATCTCTTGGGAAGAGCCATTAATTCAAAAATCGCTAATGAGGCACCAGGCTAGCACTGCCAGCACATTAGGAC